TTTTGTTTTAAAGACTTATGGGGAAGCGTTTCTGTTTGAAAAGCCAACACAGAATTATCAAGATATGATCCCCCCCAAATTCTAAGCAGTGAAAATTTGGGCACTGTTTTCTTTTCAGTTTCTCAATTCATGCATGTGCCATAAATTCTACTTACAGTACAGTAAGAAAAATAAGTATGTAGATAAAATAATTAATGATACTTAACAGGAACACACTGTAAAAACAATATGATACAAGGCCATTATGCACAGTAGAAGAAATAATTACACAAGCTTAACTTATTCAGTAGTCTGCTGTTACCCCAATCTGCAAATCTCTTGCTTTTAGATTACAGCATAAATTAACCAGTTATGGCAACAACTGTATGACCAAGGGCAAAATATGAAGTTGTTTAAGTACTCCGGTCATGCTGTCAAATGAGAATAAAAGTACTTCCTAACTTCATAAGGGTATTGTGAGGATAAATACATTAAATATTGAGAAAGGCAGACAGTTGTATGATGGATGTGCCCCATACATTTAATAATATAATCACATGTTCAAAATCATGTTACAGCAGCTCAGCTAAATACCGTTCAGTGCTGTCTCCATTGCTGACCAAAGGAATCTCATAGCCTTGGGGAATCTTCTTTAGGCAGGACTCGTTTTCATAACATTTTACAAAGGTGACATCAGATACTGTGTTTTACCTTATGACGGGAGCAGGCAAACAGTGAGCGCATGATCAGCTATGGCAGTTCAGCTGCCAAGCAGCAACTTGTTAACTCACCATAACTCAATCAATAGTCAATTGTTTGCCCACAGCCTCGGGCTGCAGACAGACATTTGGTCTGCTAACAACTGTGCCAGATGAAGACATTACTATTCCAAGCTATTTTTTATCACACATCTGCTGGAGATTATCATCTCCACAGCTCTGCTGGAAGAAGAAATCATGTGAGCTCTCACTAATATGGTTTGTACAAAACCAGCCAATTTAATTTAAATAGGTGAGTTGAGCTAACCAGGCTGGTTTTGGCTGAAGCATATTAAAACATGCAGACAAGAAAACTTCTTTAGTGGTGAAAGAGTACGGTGAAAACAAGGAAGAATTAACACCTTTAAGCAGTGTAGCTGGATTGAGAAGGGGATTGCTCCTGTCCTAATGCAGAGATAATGTAAACAGAGAACTTTTTCAAGGCTATAAGGGAGAAATCAATGCAGCTTCTAAATCGGCATTATTTAGTACTAGTTATACAATTTAAAGAATGGGAAAATACATCTTTTTAGATTAAACCTTATCTGTAAAGGTATCATAAATAGATGCATATTTTTAAATATGTCAGATACAGAAGAACACACGTGCTGACGTACATCAGCATAACATTATCTAGGTTCTAAGTGTTGTGGTGCAGGACTGTCCCTCTTCTTGGTTCATGAGTAGCCATATCAACAGATCTCAACAATCCAATTATCTTGCCACTGGTAAAAGTTCAAGTTAGTTTATAGAGGACTGGCTCATTATTATTAACTTTGACAGAAGAAGCCTAAGATAAGCAACACAGTATAGTCAAGCTCACCCAGAAAGTATCAGTATTATTCCACCACAGACAACTGCAGACCACTACCAATGCTTAGAGCTCCACATTTTTCTGATGCATTGGCAGAGTAAATTATTTCACAAGTGACTGATCTAATGCAATATGGGTATTTACATGTTGTCTTCGTGCTGAGACAAGAACTGGGTTCAGCCATCCAAAATGGATTAAGAAAACTCAAGGAAAGCATAGAAAAACGTGTGTACATGTGTATCTCTTACACATACAAAAACCAGATAAAAGGTCTTCCAGAACAGAAAACTAATAAAGTTGTGTAAAAACTATACAAAGAAAGACCCGGAGAAACCCAGTCTTGCAATAAAAGCAGATTAAACTGTATTATGGAAAAGTACAATAATTTTATAGAATGTCCAATACTTATCTGCCGCTGCTGTGCTATCAATGCATTTAGCAGCAAACAGTGAGACAATATAAGGCCACAGCTATTACTTTACGTATGCCTCTTTTTAAGGGGTTGTTCACCTGAATTACTTTGACATGTCAACTGTAATAGTTCAACACATGCAAGAACTAATTTACAGTCAATTTTAGAAAGGCTCAGAGTTTCAGGTGTGAGTAAACACTTGTTTTTAGAGATTTAACTGCATATGCATGTAGTACACTATAATAATGAAGGATTTCTTACAAAGTTACTTAATTCTGTAACCACCTTGTGACATTTGACTGGTATTGTTTACCAAATTAAACTCAGTTTACTGGGTTTTGGGGTATTTGGGCCCATGCAAAAATCTAAATGACAGATTTCCATTTTAAGATTTCATAAAGAGTAATGAATATGCACGTTTGCAAATGAGCTGATGTTCACCATTTTATTAACTCTGTGAACATAATTTGCTATCAAATCAGTAATTTCTATGGGTACCTTGTTAAGCAGACACGTTTTCCTTCTCTGTATTGTCTGCTGAAACTAAGATTAACCCTTTTGGTATAAGTGATGATTTAAAATTAAGTCATAAGAAAATCAGCTTTCAGTATTAACCACAGATAAGTGTGACACATGTCACTATGCACTACGAATTTCTTTTGTAAGGAAGAGATTCACAGAGTGGTTAGGGTTGGAAAGGACCTTAAAGATCATCTGGCTCCAACCACCCTGCCAGAGAAATTGTCTTGAATCAAATGAAGGATAGGTTCTATGACCATACGTAATTGTTCCGTGTTGTTCTTATATGTCTGAAATTCCCTATTTTGACTGTAACAGCTTTTGATAAAAAGCAAAATATTATAGATCAAAAACTATAGGGAGAAAGAAGTCACGAGGCATGCGACTGGCCTGAGAGAAGAAATGTTTGCACATTGTGCAAATTAAATTCTTATTTTCAACAGCTAAACAGTAGAAAGGATGCTAAAATTTGCCCAGTATATGCCTTGTAAATAAGATGCATATGACTTGATATTCTAAGACAGCAGATGGCCTGTTAAAAATATCATTATCATAGAAGTCTGAGAATTTTTCTTTGAGCCACTTTAAAGAACTATCAGTGAAGTTTCTGTGGTAGGCAGAGAAAACTGTGGGTTTCTGATGTACAGCACAAATAATTATTTTGAAATAACCTGAATCCATCCAGAGGAAAAAGCCTTTGAAAACAGAGATGATGGTACCAGGAAACATTAGCAAGTGACCTTGTTGTTTTTAAAGGTATTGCATTATTATAAGATACTGTGGCTTTATGTACATTGTAACAATGGTTTATGTAAGTCTTACTTTAACATTACAGCTATTTTATGGAAAAGGCCAGTCTTCAGTCTTGGATTTGCCACCTATTGCTTTTACACCACCATGCCAGATGTTTATTGGGATAACAGTCCATTAACGTATTGCTGATTGGGCATGAAGAAAGGCTGAAGACCACTTCAGGTATTTAATGCCACTTTAGAAAACTCAACTGTTTGTACAGGTAGCAATAACTTCCCAAGAGCTTCACTGGTCAGAATAACAAACACCGAAGTTATAATTTCAAATTCCTCAGGCACCATTTTACATTGCTACAGCACAGAAATGATCCTAAACTGACTTTAAATATGATCTGTTTCTTACTGCTCTCTTTTCATCTATTTTATACTCTCAGTTTCTTGTAAGCAGCCCAATAGTAAAAGTGCATTTATGGTGAAGGTTCATACCTAAAGTGAACTCACTCTAAAATTCTGAGAAAAAATATGATTTAATTTTTTGGCTTAATATAAGAGGTTTAATAAATGAAGATAACCAAAGTTTCTGAAGATGAATGACCAACACTCGCACAACCAACATTTTAGAGTATGTAACCAAAACCTATACACAATAAACTAGATGAATGTTTAATATACATATTTTTGGAAGATGTATTGGCCTCCCTTTCCAGGTATTCATCAAAGCAAGCATTTAACAGTATAAAAACCTTAATTTATATGTGATCATCCTGAAAAAAAAGACAAGTGCCTGAAAGACAAGCGTCTGTCTCAAAACCACCATATTACATGATGATATAGAATCAGAGAATGGTTTGGGTTGGAAAGAACCTTAAGATCATCTAGTTCCAACCCTCTGCCATGGGCAGGGATGCCGTACACTAGACCATGGTGCTCAACACTGTCCAGCCTGGCCTTGAACTGTGCCAGGGACGGAGCATTCACAAATTCCTTGGGCAACCCATTCCAGTGCCTCACTACCCTCACAGTAAAGAACTTCTTCCTTAGGTCTAACCAGAATATATAAATCTATTGTAAGTTTGTTCAAAAAGTAATCTGATAGCACATTGCTACCTTTACAGAACAATAAAAATCATGTCAGGTGTGTGCACAGCAAAGGAAATACTTCTGTGCTTACCAGTTTAAAACAAACAAACCTACAATCAAATAATTATTTAGCAGAATAGATTCAGTGGGTAATAAAATATTCCCCTAGAAACAGACCCCTAGGGCAGTGCCCATCAGTTCAGCGCTGAATATTTTGGCTTCTGAAGGGGTGGAAAGAAGCTGGAGGGTAGAACTAGAATTGTTTTTATAATTCTTCGCAATGACATTTTTATTGTCAAACTGTGATATAAGAACAATTTAAGTGTTACAGCACTTGAGTTATGTTCTTGATTTTAAAACCATGTGTGCATAATGATGATTTTTATACATTTTCAGCACTTAACTTACACGCCAGAAGCACAAACCTTACTTTGGCATCCATTTAATTCTGATGTTTACTAAAGTGATTAAGTTTAGTCAGTGTAGTTGGATATAGTCACCAATAAAGCCTAATACCCATGTTAGGCAAAGATTATGTCATATGAAAGAAATCCTTTCAATAAAATCACACAAAAAGACCTCTGAAAATACCTCAGAAGAATGGTGTAATTTCTTATATAAAATGTTGAGTAACAAAGTCAACAAGTTAATGCACAGTATTAATGACTGCTGCAGTATTAACTTACCTGCTTGCTGTTTTTACAGAGCTGTTTTTCTTGTGTCCTCTCTCTGAGCGGTTGTCTCGCAAGAGCTGAAGCTATTAAAAAGAAAGTTCACAAGCAAAGCCTTTATTTCTTTCTAGAAATTTTACCCTGACAATGCCATTCTTTCCCCTCTTAAGTAATATATCAATAGTTTTGCCCCAAGACTGTAAAAGGGATGGATATTAATAGGATTTTACAGTAACAGAGAATATTTCAGGATACATCCACCAAGTAATTGAATATGTAAAAATTAAATCATTCTCAAAGCATATTAATATGCAATTCACAATTTCACAACCAACACATCTGTAAAATTTTATGATTTTCACAATTTCAATTACCAAAATTTTATAATTAAATATGTTGAAGAACACTTAAATTATGAAAAACTATTCAGGCTGGCACTTGTACCTAAGCAGTTATGAAACAGTTATAAACTCTTCTAAGCCCCAGGAGCTTTTGTAATTTGGAAGTTACAGAATTAACAAAACCAGGGTATTAAAGCTTCCCAGAATAGTGGGGGAGTAGGAATAATGAAGGATTCATTTAACTGAAATGGTGAGTCAGCTTCTGAAACAAGCTCCTATTTATTCTTTTATTTATTTTTAGACAAGGATGGCTTTTCATTCAAACTATCTCCAATACTGAGAAATCTATTTCCAGCATTATATTTGTCAGCATGAGTAAAGCAGCAGTGACAGTAAAGAACAACTTTGCGTTGTAGTGTCAAATTTACACCAAAGAATTTAAAACCAGACAGTATAAAAACTACAAATATTTCTTGAATCGATACTGAAGAAAGTATAGACTGAAAGACTGTTTTAGAAGCAGATTACAGGTAAATGGATCTAATATTCACTGCAAACACATTTAAAAGTCCACTAATAATTAGGAAATTATGAACTTTATGACTTGGCCAATGTGTTGCACATGAGTGTGGACTCCAAAAAATTTACACCTACCTATAAAATTGCATTTGATTAATTTGTACCCAGCTGGCTACAGCTAGCTTGCTTGTATAAGGAATGCTCCTCATCATTTCCACTATCTAGCTCTCAGATGCAGTAAAATTGTCCAGTCTGGTTTTCAAAGGCAATCTGAAGACTATACAAAGGTAAGGCAACTTATTCTGATATATTTTTGTAAAATAACATTTCCATTTTCTTAACATCAATGAATGAGAGTACTTAAAATTCATATTTAAATGTAGTCACGATTTTTTACCCATACAAAGACTGGCCTTAGGCAGTCTTAAAAATCGGGGCTGTTCAGCCTGGAGAAGAGAAGCTGCATGGGGACCTCATAGTAGCATTCCAATATCTATGGACCTTTAGTCTTAAATTTCAATGCAGTGATGATATATTCAGCTACTTTTACTGAACAGTTAAAGTTAACTACACATTAATGAAATAAAGCCAGACTTACTTTCATATTTTATAGTTCCTGGACAGTATGTTCTGTTTAGACCTTACTACCATCCATAAAGTAAGGTATGTCTCCATGTCTGAAGACAAACTAAAGAAATAAGTGCCATGTTGCTAAACAAATATTAAATATGCCTTCACATTCCCTCTACCACATCTCTAGCTTGGACCTTCTAGGGACTACACTGTAGGGATAGGGACTCAGTAGACAAACTGGTGGCATTGTTTCACCAACATCTTCACCATGATGGAGACTTTACAGTTCTTTTTTACTGCTGTGGTTGTTTTAACCAATGAAATGCAGAAAAATGGAATTGAAGATCTTCCTGTAGAGGCCTGCCTGCTCTTGTCATTGCTCTGCATTTCTTGATTTTGTGAGCATTTTGAGAAACAACATTTGGAGACCTTGCAATTGACAAACTCATTAAAAAAAAAAAATCAGACTTCTCACTGAACTTGATAAAACTCAAAAGATACTTAACTGGAATTAAGTGACTAATTAAAGATTCTTAATCAAGGTACTTTCTGAAAGGCACTGCTGTTAACATGCTTCCTTACAAGAAAATGTGAAATCATATCTGTTTTGTTTATAGTAACTTAAAGTACTAGCCCACTACCTCTGGAGTAGAGGTAGTTAAATTCCTTTATGCATCTCAAGTAAACTGCTCTCAATCAAAGCAGTTCTTACCTGGCTATGTTCCTTCCTAGCCCCAGGGCTAAACCAGTGGCTGTGGGAGAAAAAGAAAAGACAGGTTTAACAATATAACTAACAAAGCACATGCTGTCATATGACCAGTCCATGCGTGCTTTTGAGTATTTTATTGTCTGCCAGGAAAATACAGCCTTTGGCTATGCTTTATTTTTATGGGATATTTTTATTGAACTGTCTAAGTCCATAACAGTTTTGAAAGAATGCACCACAAATTTCATTTCTGAGCAGCTATTGGCTTTACAGGTAATTATACTTTGTCGAACAAGCGAAAGTTTTATATAAATGATAGTATTTTAAGAGACTGTAATGAATGTGCTATAAATAAAAGCAATTACATATTTAGTGCTGAAGTGCTACTTATTAATGATTACAGCTGAAGAGATCTTTAAGAATTGTGGACTACCTGCTAGTTACATTGCATTATTTCAAAAACTGAGGTTTGAGTTTGAATCTAAAGTGAATTCAAAGTCTGTAAGTTCTGTGGATTAGTATCTCTATATACTTGCACAATTTTGATATTGGCAGCCTTAATTCACAGACACACTGGCATGCAGGGACAAGAACTCACAATGTGATTCTTCTCCCAGTAGCAGTAAAAACATATTAATACGAGTTCACACACACAATGTGATCATGTAGAACTGAATTAACATCTGAATGTAGCTGTACTAAGCATTACACAAACCCGAGACAAATCTTGACACTTGCAAAATGAAAAGGAGAAAGAAAAAACAATTAAAACAAGGGGGATCTGAAATTACATATTGCACCTATATATTACTCATGTAAGCAATAAGTTTGGGGCAATGGATAAAAGGATTCCAGCCATTAAAATACTGCACAAAAAGACCATCACATTATCTGCTGTTAAGCTTTTATTGTGAGTGACCCAACAAATAAAGTCACAAACATCCAGAAGCTGAAGAAGATAACAAATATAATGGGCTAGATCTAAATTCCACATAGACAAGTATCTTGTCTCTGAGCAATGTCAACAGCAAATGCTCAAGGAAGAGCAGCTCTGCTGGTTTGAGGCAAACCAGTGGCTCACAGACTAAATTATTAGTAAACCATATTTCTATTGAAAAAAATATATTGAAATAATTTGAATGCCTCTCATATTTAGACATTAAAAACCCTTCATAAAGAATAAGACCTCTTGTAATGAGAAAGCGATATTCACATCACGCTGAGTTTTATGATTTTGTCCATTAACTTACAGTATTATTTATTTGTTTGTTATAATAAAATCAACAAAAGTAAACCCCATAAAATACCAACCGAATTACTTTATGGTACAAATAACTTAAGAAATCACGACCGCTTCAGTTAACACACACATTAGCAAGTAAAGTGGATCAGTAGCATAAAACAGTTGCTACTGAGGATTTGCTGTTTGCAGTATCTGCTCCTTGGCAAGTTTTGGTTTAAACAGTGGATGCTTCTAACAGAAGGTGGAACATAAAAATGTATCCCCAAATATATTATTTCCTAATCACGTGTGCCTGTGTTTTAAATTTCTGATGTGGAAAATATAGGAAAATTTAATCTTATTGTAATTATTCAAAAGAGATAACCAAGAAATAATGTTACTAAATGTTGTCAGCTGAACAGAATAAGAGTTTACAGTAATGGTACACTGGAGTAACTAAACAAACTGAAACTGCATGACATTCCCGGTTTACATGTGTCTAAACAATTAATTCAATGTCTTTTCGAGGAAATTATCATAACCTTATTCCTCTCATGATACATCATGTTTAAGACTCAAAGATGTGATGCTTGTTCATTTTCATATATGCAGGCTTGGTATTTCTGAATTTCCCTTTGGAGAAAAATAAAGCAGGTTTTTTAAAAAAACCTGTATTTGTTATCTAGCCTTAAAAAGGCTGCATTTTAAGAAAGTATACGCCTAGTAAGTTAATAAAAACACGTTTGCAAAGCACTGAAGTTCATGTCTCCTTAAGAAACACAAAATGAATTGCAAATTATTATAAATACTAAAATTTAAATATAAATAAATAAAAATAAAGATTGTAACTGAGTTCAGGCTCTTTTATCATGTTTGTACAGTTGTAAACCGTGGCTTCAGGACAGAGATAATACTGTAAATCAAACAACAATAATAATAGTAGTAATACTAATAATAGTAGAATATAATATACTAATACTGCTGCTACTACTACTACTCCTAAAAAAACCCTTATAACTCCCATCACTGATACTCACTCATGGTGAAGACAATCCTGGGACATGTGAACTGTTTTCCTGCTACCGCCTGGTCCTGGAGTTATCTAATGGCAAAAAGAAAACAAATCTTTGAGTCATGAGGCAGCACATACAGACAGTGATTGTTTATTAAGAAAACATCAGAAATACTGAATATAAACCAGACACAATACACTAAATACAGTAAATGCAATTAGAAATAGCTGCAATTTTTAAGTAAAGCCTGAATGCAGGAAGTGCTATGCAAGATTTCCCAAAATCCTTTATGTGCAATCCGGATTGGATGTCAGATATCAGACACTGACAAATGTCAGGGGCCTAAGTTCCTTTTGAAAAGTTCACAAAGGATTTTATCTTCAAAAAATGAAAGTTAGATGTTTTGAAATTCATTACTTATGGATAATACAGCAATAAGTTTATTAAAAACCTTCCAACCTTTGTATTCCAGCACAAAGCTTCTGATATTCAAGTTGATGTAGGAGAGAAAGCAAAGATAAAATACTGTTTACCACACTGTACTGCAGTCCTTGTCTAGTGCTTTATATATACTGAAACAAAAAAACCGTAATATGTTCAACTGAAGAATGATCTTAAGAACGCAAGATAGCACATGCAGACTATAGCAGATGATTACACTCTGGTATTGCTCAAGAATGCATAAAAAGAGCTTTATTTTTATTTTTACAATCAGCTTAAATTGTCTGCACCTACAGGTAGGTAAAAGCAGCAGAATGAGACTACCTGATGAAACTCATGCTTGAAGAACCAACTATTCCTGTTGGAAACAAGACAGGAAGAAATTTTCAATTCCTGGGAGATAACTTTATTGTCAATAGATGACCAGAGGTGGGAATGAAGTCAGATGTTCTGCCAGTTTTGAAAGGAGACCACAAAACCTCAGTAATACATTTGGAAGGCTCAGGCTTACCAAAAGTACATAGGCAGCAGATTCACAGATAAAAGCAGCCTACTCTTCATGAGAAGAACAATGTGCTCAACATTTAAAGGAAAAAGTCCCTACTCATCTGGTGTTATAATGGATAAAAGCCAGGACCGTTGAAGTTCCAAGTCTTGAAAACTTTCAAGGACACTCACTGAATAATTTGAGAGCTCCATATGGTTAAAGTATTTGACCAAAATTAGCTCCTTTGACGTGAAGAATGATGTCACTTGGGGCTGAACTGAGAAACCCTTAAGTGGTGTCATTTTTCTGGCTGCTGGTGATTGAAAGGAATTGGTAATACCTTACTGCAGGAAAATCTATGCAAACATACAAATCTCTAGTAGAGGAAATCATGGCAGCTACATGGGAGAAGAGCACGTACAGCCTTACCTGCCTTTGGAATTTACTGTTTGATTAGACTTATTGAGACCTTACAGAGCCACATAATATAATAGTAAAGTCATAAAGAAATAATAAAACAGTAATCAAATATTACTATCTCAGTGTCATAGTCCACCTAATAATGAGAACGAGAAATGTCAATTCATAAAGAGAAGAAGAAAAATGAACAAGTATTTAATATATATTTTCCAAATTTTAAGATTAATAACTAAACTGTTACTTTAACACTATAGGTAAACATGTAGCTCAGCTCTTGAGGGTTACATCCTGCATTAATCTCAAAATGAGGTTTTCATGCTATTCCAGTGGGTATCCCTGGAATACAGTAATCCATTTTCTACACTGTGGCTATAAGAAAAGCCAACTGTGCCTATGTCATGCTTTGTTAGAGGTTCATGATCACATTATCTCATGGTGGACCTGACACTTTTATTCAGTTTACAGTATGTTCTATGTAGAGGCAACTTATTTCCTTTGCCAGGGCTGCTGACAACCTTTTCCACACTATATTAATCTTGTTTACAGACTTTATCTTGGTACAAATATCAGAAAACTAAACTTTTTATCTCAGGGAGAAAATAAACAACATGTTGACAGAAGCAAAAGCTATTTTCTAGGCTAAAATTGGTTGTTTACCTGCAGCCATACTTATGGAAACAAGTTTAAGTTTCCAGTTTACTCAAAATACATAATCTGAAATATAATAAGCATGGAAATTTCAAGAAAAATCACTTGATAAATTGCCAGTTTTAAACTAATATCTAAACCACAGAAATATGTTTTTCCACTGAATTATAAGAGAATATGAACTTGCTTGGAATACAGTTATGACTGATCAAAGTATACTGCTCAGGTTTCTCTTGCACACCCCAGATCGCTTCAGTTAACCAAACAGCCACAGTATATCTATAAAACTAAAGTTAATAATGCATAAATAGACATCTTTGCATAAAACTGAATGCTGATTATTGTACGTTAATGCTAATGAATTTCTGTTTGTAAACTCATCTAGGGTATCAAAAGCCAAAGCAAAACCTAATATCTATCTTCATCCTCATCTCCTAGCTCTCTCACTGCCAGAAAAATCTACTCCAAAGATCTGCTGAGTCTCCACAGCAGAGAGAAGCAATTGATTTGGAGCAACATAGAAAACAAAAAAACCCAAACAGCTTTCACAGTATACATTACTGAATCACTGTCATAGCTTGACATTACCATTACATTTTTATTCCCTCTACAAGCACACCCTTGCTGAAGGGCCCAAACTGACCATTCCAGAGAAGCACATCTTGAATGTAGAGGTTACCTTTAAGTGATGCTCAAACTCCACAAAGTCTTCATGTAGCCATGGTTCACTGGCTGAATAGTTCACACACTGTTAAAAGAGTTTTCTCCACATTTCTTTTCACACAACTGATCAAAATACCTCTCCTCATGTACAGTTTCCTACTGAATGATTAACACATGGAAAATAAAAACTATGGTGTCAGAGATTAAAAGTCTGCTATTGAGCACTGCTCTTTCAGAGAAACAGGGAAGGTTTAAATCTCATGTTTCAAAGCAAAATAGGGAATTACTTTTTAAATCTTTACTATAACACAGTTTTTCTCAGCCGCTTTTAAGATAGCTATAAATGTAAAACAAAACAGACTATTGAAAAGAGACTGGCCTGGATGTAAGCATGGTTGTTTGTTTTAAACAGCAACACTAGCAGAAAATATCCATGTTTTGTCCTAAATCTTTTTCATACACTAGCTTTTATATACTATAAAATAGGTAAGAGAATAAGTTTAATGATGCATTTTAATGATATACATTGGTGCATACATACTGCCTTTAGGTATGTAATAAGGTAACAGTGGAGGAGTTATTAAAACAGAGAAAATAAATACTACTGGATAATGGAAAAAAATTACTTGGCCTATGGAGAAAGCAGCAGGTAAAGCAGAAAGTGTATGTGTTCTACCTGCAAGGAAGTCAGTAGGAGAGTTTCTTTTGAGACTCCTAATATTTAATATGAAATAATACTATGTGGCAGCACTGCTCCAACAGCAGCTCACAGCTCCTTGATAAAAGGTGAAGTTCCTCAGGACTGGACAAACACACGCATAGCACCACTACTTCAATGTTCTATACTAGGTAAAATGGTGAGGGCAGCTCTCTGAATTGTATTAGACAACTGTATTATGGCAACAAAACAATGGCCAAAATTTTGCTACTTCATTGCTCTGTAAATAGCTAACATTTAACAAATTTTATTGAAATGAAACTTAATTTCCTTCAGTACAAAGAGCTATTAATTAAATCCTGTAGCAATATGCTGCATATAAAAGGTCTTTATTACATTTCAGCTGTCTGTTTGGATATAAAACTTGTTCTTAGGGTGACATCGTAGTTTCCCCTAAGTGAACAGGATGTTGATTTCAGTAGTGCTGTGACTGTATCCTTATTAGTTAAGAATGATCTAAAATACTGACATCATGTTTTTACCTGTAAAATTATCATCAAGTTACCCACCCGGTGATACAGACAGGAGGAAACAGCAGAGCACTGATCAGGATACCAGCCTTGACCCGAGATGCAGGTTCAATTCTTTGCTCTGCTGCAGGCTTGCAGTTTTGACCTTGGGAAGTTGTTTCGTACAGCTCAGCTCCCCATTTGGGAAACATGAAAAAAACAACCCATGCAAACAAGACACCTCTCTGTAATCTGTAATAGTTTTTCCTTACTTCATTAATGTAATATAACGTCAGTAAAGACTGTACCTACAACAAAGGATGTCATCAAAGCATTTCCTTTCAACTGATTAAGGTATGATACTGAAGGTGATTTTTATTCCTACCGCCAAAGGACTTATTACAGGAAACAGAAAAAATGTCAATATTAAATGCATTTACATATATAAGCAGAATAACTCAGAACTCTTTGCAGGTACAAGTTATACTCTGACAGTTCAGAGCAGCATAAGCTTGCTCAGAGCGGATTAAAAAAGCTATGCAGCAACAAACCCCCCATTTTCAAATCACCGCCCAGCTTCAGCAGCAAGCTAGGAGTGGCCTCTACTGGCTGACCAAAGGCTACAGAAGTCACTAAGCTTATGCTATGAGTTACAACTGTGGCTATCAAATGTGTGAGGAAATGTTAACAGAAAGAATCTTCTTGTCAGTGCTAAATAATTCACACCATGGCTAAAAATTAAAAGCAAACATCAAATGAGTGAGACAACAGACAGTAGTAAAAATGCCTTTAATACTGGCGCTTCTACGATTTGTCAAAATATACTCTTGTGAATATATACATGCAGAAGCCCTTTTCCTAAAAGCTGATTATGGAATTCAGCAGGATATACTGTGCTACCTGTAAAGGTGAAACAAACCTTAAACTCAAATATTTTATAATTTGCTTATATAGCATATACTTTGATTAATACTGAATTATTTCAATTATGTTATCAATGGTTTGATTTCAATGCACAGTTAGAAAAACTGTTGTATCATCTGAGATGGTTTGAAAACAGACTATGTAACTATAACTTTCACAAATGTGCCTTTTCCTTATTTATAAAGTTGAAACTACTAAAATACAGAATAATAAAAACCTGAAGTATGAAAGTCTACAATTTCCTCAAAGTACATAAAAATCATATTTTAGTAAGAAAAAAGGAGAATAAACCATATTTTTATTTTTTTTTAAACACAGTAATTGTGGACACCACAACTT